GGTCAGGAACGGTGGCAGAGAAGCGCAGAGTGAATTCGCGGGATTTGCTGCGATTACACAAGAATACGTAGATTTCGCTATGGGTAACGGAACACCGTTGGTGGTGCATATGTAGACGTATAGTATAGGAGGGACAGTGGGGGAGGCGTCGCAACGCTGTTGATTTGCATCGGGTCGTTTGGAACGTTACGGTGGAAATTCCTGCCCTGTATATATATATATATATATATATATATATAGTGACGAGGAGTACTTCGGTTACACCTGTCTCGTATATCTGTATACACACACCTTATAAGGTCCGTAGATTTCCCTACAGACCAGGCCCATAGCGATTCTCTATGGGTTGACGAGCGTCGCGACGGCCGCGTCCGCGTAAATTGCTTCGTTATTACTTGCTTAACTGCCGTCGCGTCTTAATAATACAGACCTTCGCGAATTACATTAAAGTTCAGCTCGGACTGGTTGTGTTCGAAATTTCTTGGTAATTTCAAAAAATTCACTTAGCCCGTGGTAAATCATATGAAAGTTATATGAACCCGGTTTAATACTTCATTGTGCATTTCGGGTGGCATTGCGAGGCGTCACTTACCAGAGACGCGATCATCTGTTTCAAATGACATTATCAATAGGGTTTGGCGGGAGTTTGAATTGTGGAGAAGTACAAAGGTAACTATACCTACTGCCGGTTAGTGACTCCATAAAAATGGCTCGCTGCGATAAAAGGGAAGTGTGGATACGTGCCAATGGCTTGTAAGAGAAGTTATATATATGTGTATATATATATATATATATATATATAAGGATCAGTCGCTCGTGCAGAATCGAGTGGATTTGGCGAGTGGTCCATGGAACACGTATCTCGCTAGGGAAAACTTTCACGTCTACCGGGTCGAACCTGAAAAATCGGTACGCGTGGAAAAGTTTTTCGCGACTTGGTAAAAGAAAAGAAAAAAAAAAAAGAAAAAAGACGGCAAGGGAGATATAAATTAGCGAAAGTAAAGGCCGAGGTATTTCGCAACGTTAGATCGGCAACGGTAAATTTTGCAGACAGTCAACGGGCTTATTATATTTTTAATATACATACGTATATAGGTAGATACGTAGGACGATGATCAATAGCCAATCATCAATCTTCTACGAGCGAAACGGTGTCATATGGGTTATTGTAAATCAATCGATTACGAATCGAAAATAAGATTTTTTTAATATACGAGGGATTGCGTTGATCTATATTATTTTTTCGATATATGTACATACGTATATTTTTTCTCAAGCTCTGCCTGGTATATGTATGGGGAGATATTGTCGTTGCATAATATATTTCCGATGACTTCTCGATGACTGGGTTAAATGTCGAGCTGGAATACTTTCACCAAATTTTTTTTTTTTTTTTTTTTTTTTTTTTTTTTTTTTTCCCCTTTTTTTTTTTTTTTTTTTTTTTTTTTAATGTACGACACACCCAATAACGATCAGCCGCCAGTAGGAAGAAAAGAAATTATGCCTGATCCACAACGAGAGATCGGGAATCCGTTCTTTCATCCTCATCCGTTATACCAAGTTGATTGGACCGTCGAATTACCTTGGCTTAATTTCGGCTCGACCCTATTAAAAGGTTGTAGTTTAATTGGCTCGAAATTAATGCGTCATTAATTACCATCGTAAATCACGAGATTTATTAAGCGATTCACGTGTAATAAGTCATTATTACTTTCGATCGAAAACATAAATAAATAAATATCCGGTTTAAATTTCAGGCGATAAGTTAACCTTAAATCAACGTAAATCGACTACAGACACGAACATTCTGATCCCGCAGTGCATCGTGGGAAATTTGTCAAAGGGTGGCGCTAGTGTTCCCAACGTACCTTCAGATTATCGTACTGAATTCGCGATCTGGCACGTGTCCCCCATTGGGGATTTAAGGTACATTGAAGGAGGCAGCCAAAAATAAAAGGACGGAAGGAAAGGGGATATTAATAAGGTACACGTAATAAAAAATGAATCCTACGCGTGTCGATCGTCGGGAATTGACGTTTCGTACAAAAGACTTTTTTTTCCGACGCTTAATTCCAGGTCGAATCCCCACAGGAATTCCCTGTTCCATACGTATATAGATCCCGAGTAAAAGTAGAATCATGGAGATACACAGGGGATCGATGGATCAATTTAAAAGCAGTCGATCATTTTCTCATATCAAACCTGCCTCATTGTCATGGCGAAATCGTGTCCTGATTTCAGGATTATATCCTACGTTATGTATGGTGTGGTAGGTTGCGTCATCGTATGAATACTCAATGACGTCACCATTATGGATTTTCACGTGCACCTAATTTTCCCATGTGAAACAGTCTCGCCTATGAAAATAGAAAATGGGATGATAACTGCATTTCTGATTGCACTGTCCATGTATACTGGATTTTAGATGTTCATTAGAGTAACGCTTACTGTACGACGGAGCGTCCATGTTCGAGTTAGAAAAAAATTACGTCACTGTAGGACAAGCTGCGAGTCACGTGGGTGGGAGTGAAGATTCGTCTATTTAAAAATGGGGTTGATTAATTTATGGACTGAGGGGTGAAAGGGGGGTAAGTGGCTCACCTGATGAATTAGACGGAAGATATTGCACGAGACGTGGCTGAGGTCGTCGTCCTTTGTTCAAATAGGGCGTCCAGGGGCGTAGAATGCTGGTAGGTTGAAAGCATAGGGATTTCCATGGTTACCCTCGGGGGAGAGGCAGTAACGTGCCACCACGAGGTCTGTGGGGACGGCTGGTGGAAAAAGAAAGAGAGTGGAGAAGGAAAGGAAAAAAATGGCCGACGTAGCGTAGAAAAGAAAAATAGCGAGTCAGTGAGACGAGGGGAATCTGCTTTGAGGTAGGGGGAGAGGAGAGAGAGAGAGAGAGAGAGAGAGAGAGAGAGAGAGAGAGAGAGAGAGTTTCTGAGAATAAAAATTGCTAAGAGAGACAAGGTCGTAAGATAGTATACAAAACCAAATGCCTGTTACACGCCGGACGTCAAGAAAAAGTATTATCGCGTGATCTTGGCGAAGACGAAAATATTTCTATAAATAATGGCGGAGTATAATAAAAGCAAAAAAAAAGGGATGGAAAAGGTGAGGAAAATGAATGAAGATCCTCCACGGACGGAAAAGATTTAAGATTTGCATTGTCCGGTGTAAAGTACCGAGAGAAATATGAAATCCTTTTAACGTCAAAGAAGGAAGCTGGGATTAAAGGAACTGTCGTGGGTTTGTTCTACTGTTAAGATGGCGTTGAAAAAAAAAAAAAAAAAAAA